AAATAAAAATCAAACAAGAGCATTTTGTAAGTTGGACCTGGCTGTCTTTACAAGTAGAAGAATTGAGGAATAGATTCGAGGTAGTGTATTCGCACATTCTACCAGGGAAAATAACAGCACTTGGGTAGTTATTTTTAGTGGCGCTACAGAAGATGTCTTCAGGCAAAGACTCTTGAGGCCGACCCTCTCATTTACACTGCACTCAACCAGTTGGCCGCACAATTGGTAAACAGGCTTTTCAGGCCGCGCTTCCCGCTAATCTGCCGGGGGTGCTCCTTGGCCTCGGAGAAACCCACACCATCGACGTACTACATCGGCCGGGGCGGGGTGGCCCCTTGAGGTGCGGCGAGTGATGCAGCTAATGAGTGTGAGGAGGTTTGGTGCAGGAGATCGATGCGAGCCGATGGGGCCCAGATTGTCGATGTCTCCGTAATCGCCTGTTATCGCGCTCAACAACACCTGAGCCACAGGTGCGCTCAGTCCCCACGCTGCACCACCGCTCTCTCTCCCTCATAAATAGAACATCACTGGACACTGAATAATGCACACTTGTATCGCGGTGTCACAAGCTAATATCTATTGTTTTCTATACACGTGAACTACTATACTATAAATGCACATTCCTGTAACATCTGTTCATTAGCACTGATCATTTTAGCTTAGTATCCATCTATCTTTTTTTTTTTCAAATCAATATTACGTAGTTGTCTCGATTTTAAGATGAGAAAGTCTCAATTTAGTTTCTGTCATGACGTTGCTAGTAGTTTGGAGTTAGCTTATGATGTCAGGTGAGCTTTCGGATTTCGCAAAGTAGTTAGCTTCTCAAGCTAGGTAGCATTTATGTCTGGCTACATAGCGATCACCATGACCGATACGAATGACACAAACCTATAGTTTATGATGTCAGGTGAGTTTGGGATTTTGCAAAGTAGTTAGCTTCTCAAGCTACGTAGCATGTATGTCTGGCTACGTAGCTATCACCATGACCGATACGAATGACATAAACCTAATACATTGGGCTAATTTGGTTTAAAATGCAAGAAAGACTAAAAATGAAACCCGTAACTTGACAAACTAGTATGTCGGGGCACTCGTGAGTCAAGGTATCACTGTAGTTGGAGCCTGGGGTGTCCACTGGAGGCCATGTGAGTTGACATTTCCTGCTCCGCTGATTTCCGTCAATGATTCGACCTTTCGGCGGGAGCTTTGGTGTGACCTACGCAGGCCCCCCCGCAGGGGAGGCCTGGTGGCAAGATTCGCACAAAGTGGGGTTCCTATTGATCGGTCAGCACTCTCAAAATAAATAAATAAGAGATAAGTAACAGTCAAAGCCCGGCAATGACGTAGAGGTGAGAGAGAAGCCTACGTGTGCTTATCAATGGTGAGGTGGAATTTTTCCGCCTCGGTTTTTCTGCTTTGAGATTCTTCTCCACAATCCTTCCCTACACTTTAAGACACGAGGCATTCTTTTTAACATCACCTGGTCTTGGGCAAATTCAGATTTCCATCTTTCCCGCCCACCTCGCGCAGGGGGAGCCCAGCGAGCTGAAAGCTACACTCCTCCTCTCGTCTGTTCTCTCCGGTGCATCTTTTCATGTCTTACCTAAAGTAGTAATTTTCTTTCATATGGTAAAACTAGAACCGCACGGAAACATTTCAAATGAACTGAGTGTCAATCAGACCCCCGCAACTTATTTTTATAGGAGCGCGGAGGGTTGAGAGGGAGATAGTGGCGGTCTGTGGGCTGACGAAAAACTCATGGCGACCAAACTGTGGTCGTGAGGCAGAAAGCCGCTGCACAAATAGGCGGAAAAACCTCACCCTGCTTTCTCTCAGAGAATGATTGAAGCTACCAAGCCCAAAATTCCCAATTTGAGGGTCAGCAGATTCCTCCTGGTTTGCATCAGAGCAATTTCTCTGCCCTCGAGGTTGCACTCCGGAATGGTGCCCGTCAAATTCGGTCTCTTTGGAGATTGCGCAATGGGTGAAGTGAGGGGGTTAGAAGGTGATCATGGCCAATGGTTACAGAATAATGGGTAAAAAGGGAAAGTGGGGAGGAGACGGAGGGGGGCAAAAATCTCAAGAGGGATTTGAGGCATATTCATGGCGTAATATTTAAATCCATATATATGCTTATTAGCATGTTTTATTCATTGCTTGTATTCTCCGAGGTGGGAGCAGAAAATAGGCAATAAAAACTCCAATTTGGAAAGCAGCGGCTCATGCATTAATTCCGTTTGACATCGGCCACTCGCACGAGATGCTGACTGACGCGCGTCAGCGTGTCACCGACGTAAATACGGCACGAGTTGGGGGAAAGTGACTGGATGAGGAAGAGATGAGCAATTGGGCTATTGTGTATATATTCCTGAAATGAATGAGTTGCCAAGAAAAATGCAGAGAGGGAGTTTTAAGTAGGAGAGCGAAATTTCCAAACAGGTCTGTCACATATTTTGTCACACCAGTTTCCATTTGGCGCAGTTTGGATAGGTACACATATACAGTAAATTATCCTAAAATAGCTAAACTCTTCACATTTTTGTCACCCTGTTGCTTGATTTCCTTGTGCGCTGCTATTGTGCAATGCCTCAAAATAACCAACCCAACGGTCACACTTTTTCTCCCCTTAAGGCCAGTTTGTATTTAGCGCTTTGGTTTAACACTTGGAGGTTTGGTTCAATTTGGAGCACAATTTATTGGATTCCAGTTTTAGAGTGTAATGTAAAAATTATAACCTCCAACATGATCCCCTTAGTTAAAAGCTTTTTCACAAGACCCCTGTAAAAATTCAGGCAATTTAATTTTTTTTTTTTTTAACTGATAAGTGCTTGTTGTGCCTTAAATTAAAGCCGACGTGCCTGCACTGAAGTAACAAGCAGTTGTGAAAGCCACCCATGTTGTCTCCTGGGAACAATAAGGCAAACAAAGAGCTTTTTGCTTGGTGACGAGCGATAAGGTTCATGTTATCAGTGAGCCCAGAGGGGGCCATTAGTGTCGCTCCCCGCAAACAACAACAGGCCCGCAGCATTGTTATTGCTTATTTTAAATGCAGCCATTAGCAACAAGCAAGCATCTTGAGATTAGTTTGCAGCTTCATTTTATTTATTAATTTTACACAGAGACTAATTGCATAGATTTTATGATAACACGCGGGCCAATTAGGTGACAGCATCCAAAGAAGCCATTTAAAAAAGATTTGAGAAACCTTCAGAGTTGGTTTGTTAAGTTCTTTTTGTTGCAGTACGCTAATTATGTGGCATTTATTTAAGCCACTGTCGACAGAGCTAGCTCATTAGCAACAAACATTAAAACAGCCATCGTTGTTGACGTTGAAGCACAGTCGAAGATTCAAACGATAAATTCCATCTCAGAGTAGCTGATAAACAAAAATTGCTAAATATAGATGCTATAAGTGATGCATGATCGCAGCTGATAACTACTTAAGGCTATAACTGATACTAAAGACACCTAAACATAACTTCCCGTAAGTTAAAACCTAATCGCGGCTACAGTCAAAGCTCCAGTGACTTGCTATGGCTTAAGGACCAAAACTGAATGTCAACATGCTGTTTTGTAGGTCACTAACTTGGCCATGTTTCCTTTATAAAATTTGAAAAGTTTCATCCAGATATTGTTGAAAAAAGAAAAAAAAATTAACTTGCTAGCGCCGAGGGTTGCTAAAAGCTAACATAATGGCCTAGAGCTACTTTCAGTGGATATAATGACGACCAAGATATGCAATATAAGCTAATGGCATCAAGGGCACAACCCTGAAAAAGATTATCATGTGCAAAAGCTTTTAACTGGAATAAATCCAGCTTGCTTCTTGAAATATAGCACTCAGCTCATAGTGCTCAAGCCGTTTTTCATCCATATCCCATTTTGGGGGGCGGGCGGTTAAAGCGTTCAAAGGTTTTCCATGTGTACATTAGTGCGTATTAGCTTAACATAAAATGGCAACGCTGGCTAACGCACGATCGCGGCTCCGGTTAACAAAAGCTATTGCTCTGACCGATAAAAGTGGTGGAAGACAGCTAATAAAAGCTACATACAGCCAATAACGCTCGCATCTTTCAAAAGCTGATAGATAGCTTGCCTGATACTGTTTGGACAAGCTAGAAATGGCAGGTAAACCATTCTCGTAGCTAGTTTAAAAACAGTCATGGACAGGAAAAAGCTGCTATTAACACCAACAGAATCTCTTAGCAGCTACAATGGATAAATCTTAATTCAAAGGTTGCTCAAACGTGCCAGTCAACAAATCTCCAAGCTGCTAAAAAGCTAAAATGTATTCTTGCTGACTACCATTCACACAGGCTAAAAATAGTGGTCAATGGTTAGCTAGCTCCACAAACTAAACACCAAGCGATGGTTAAAAGGGACAAGTTCAAATCTGTGAGCTAGTGCTAGCAATGATCACCATGTGAACCTCACTAATGTATGAATTTTAAAGAATGTATTTATAATCAATCACAGTTGCAATTATTACAATGCCTCAAGGAAAATTAATCGCTGCTGTAATCTGCATAAAAATACATAATTGGATGGAAGGATGTCTCCGTGGAAGACAAACAACAGACATATCAGGGACGTGCAGGGTATAAAACACTATGTCAGTCAACAAGAAAAAGAAATCTTTATTTCAGTCCAATGTGGAAAAAAAAAATACAAAGTCCAGAAGGCAAAGCGAGGGCACACATTTTTTTTAAGCAAACATAACCCTGACGCAGCATAAACTTTTGAAACGAGTGAAAACTATGATAATGCCAAGTCCGCTTTGAGTTGCAAAGGGCGGCGAAAGACGAAATATTTTTCAAATGATCTTTGTGCTTTGTACACGAAGAGGAAACGTTTCAAATGGAACCTGGGAATGCTGAGAGACGAGTACCGGTACTCCATTTTCAGTCACTAGTAAAGCAACACCGGCATTTCAAAAAAGTCCTCGCTTCAAGTGGCGTCCAAATATTTTATTTTTTTTAAGTGAATTGTTTTTCTATTTATATATGTGGAAAAGTAGAACACAAACAAGATACTTATGTTTCACATAAAAAGAAAAAAAAACACATTGGGGAGATTCACGCTTTACACTAAATGGACAAAAGTCTTTGGGACGATGCTGTAACAATCAACTTGGGGCTGTCCCAATAATTTTGGGTCATTCCATGCAGATTTGGATTTTCATGAAACTTGCTGTACTTGTTGATAATGATGGCACAACGCTAGACCTCAAATTTTCGGTCAATTGGCGCAGAGGTCTCCTAACTACAGCCTGACGAATTTTGAGATTGTGGGCAAAAAGAAGCTCCATCAACCAATAACGGAGTTGGCAATTGAAACCCAAAGCGGAATATGACATGGACGTTCGGGAACTGGTCCTAAGGTATCGGGCTGTGCAAGCGTCACATAGTGCCCCTCAATTCACATTTTTTTGCAACGACCAAAATGTTGCCATTTACGGCAGCATTTCCCGGGGTGACGAATTGGTCAGCGCTTGGGTTTTTGATGGTCATTTTTGTTTGAAGGCAGCATTCACCCTGTTTGGTGTTCTGCTAGAGGCGAAGCGGGGAGGGGAAAAGGTGATGTAACGAGGAGGAAATGCTTTGCGCGGTCAACAACGGGGTATCGAGGTCGCACAAGACGCGGTGGGTTTAGGGTCCCGTTTTCACACTCCGGCAGAAAACAAAAAGGCCATTAAAAAAAGAGCGAGAATTACGGTAGGAGAGTCTATGGTATTGTTTGAAGCGGGCGAGTGAGATGGAAAAGCAAACATCAGTGACACGAGCTGCGTTGTCAAGGTGTCTTTGAGTTCCACGTCACATCCATTCACTCATCCATCCATCCATCAGACAGCCCAGCGTTAATCCATTTTCTTCTCTTCCGGATCCTTCTCTAACGCTACCTCACCCTTGGGGCCCTCCGAGCATCGATGCTTCTCCTCTCCCCCCACTTCCTCTTCCTCCTCTGCCTCCTCTTCTCCTTCTTCCTCCCCCTCCTCCTCATCCTCCTCGTCAGTCAGACCCTCCCGCTTGATTGCGTCGATGTCGTCCGAGCCGTCGTCCGTCTCGGCCGTGCAGATGCCGTAGCACATGAGGCTGATCACGCCCAGCGGCAGGCCAAACAGGAAGCAGCCCAATAGTGGTGAGCTGCGGAACACTGACTGATGGGTGGGAAATGAAAGGACGGGTCGGGTCGGTTGGGAAGGGAGGCGGAGCAAGAGAGGACACAGTTACACAGTTACTTTCTAGGTTTTGGAGGAATGAGGGTATCATGGCAGGCTTTCGGGATGAACCGAGGGCGCGGTTCAGGCCGCTGCCTAAACTGGCTGTGGAAGCAGCATGACAGAAAGTGTCAAACGCCTCTTTAGAGGCTTCATGTGGCTGGGTGGGACTGAGCAGGACTCATTTTGGATGACGTGAGATGGAAAGCAACCTAGGCTTAAAATAAGCTACTTTGTTGCCTAAATGGGATGCAGAAGAAGCATCAGAGTATTTATTTCTGGCCTTTTTGTTTTTTTAGAATCTGTGGCAAATAAATGAGTGGGTCTTATTTAGGACTAGGCAAGACTGGAAGGAATTACCATTTAAGTAACTCCTTAGTTGCCTAAATGGGTTGCAAAAGAAGCATCAGAGCACTATTCTAATACATCTTCGGAGGCTTGTCTGTGGGGAATTTAACGGATTTCATGACGGATTTGGCGAGACGGGAAGGAATGAAGTGAGTCTTAAATCAGCTATTCCGCTACCTAAACGGGCTGCAGAAAAAGTAAAACTGGAAGTTCAGACGAGTGGAAAGTGATGCAAATAAATAGAGCAAGGTTGCTCAGACAGGCAAAGTTAAGCCTTGTTAATTTGCCAGCGCAATAAGCTGCAAAAGACAACATTTAAAAAAAAAAAAAAAAAAAAAAAAAGGGTAGCACACATTATGCAGCACTTCTAGCCATGTGAGTTATTTTCAAGCAAGCATTGCAATTCAAAGGATTTGAGCTACAGCACAAACGAGTGGAAAGTGAAGTGAACTACTACTTCCTCCTTGCACGTTGAGAGCACAAAATGCACTCGAGGACTAGTGTTGAAGTGGAAAAACCTAAGCCAATCCAGGAGAACCAAGCGTGCACAACCCTTTGGTCCAAGCCCGCATCCTCGGCATCCCCCAAGCAGCTGCAGCAGTAAGCGTGAAAGCATTTATCCAATTCTTCTCTAAAAACTCCTTCCCTGCGGCTAATAAGTTAGCAGGCCTTAATGCGGAACACGCTGGATGGGCAGGAATGAAGGATGCCAAGATGGGAGCCTTCAATCACGGCATGGCTTACGAGAGAAATCCGCTCGCTCGCTCCAGCCGTCGCCGCGGAATGAGCCGCGCATTCCGACCGCCAGATGTGACAGCCATGGCGACGCTACGCTAACGGCAGTGACGGCCGACCACTGTGCCGCAGCAAGAGGCGGGAAGAGTTGCCACAAATTGTACTCAAGTAATAGTACAGTTGCTTTAGAATAATATCGCTGAGTCAAACTCATCACAAAATAAGTCGTCATCACGCTGCCGGAATGTAACGTCAATGCTTCGGCGGCAGAAAGTAGAAATTAACTTCCACTTGTTGCCATTCGTACGACAGAAAAATTCTTTGTGGGCTCAGCAACTACAGTGAGTAACATTTGTGAGTAAAATGAAACGAGACCATCATTATTTCAGTACGCTTTTTGTGACTTTTTTCTCATGTTAAAATATGTGCCTTGGCGCACTAACGCATTGACACAGCTGGGAGGGGTCGGGGGAGACATCACAAAACTGCTCGTCCTATCGCATACGTCGTCCTGTGGAGGAATGATTGTGAGCTTTACGTTACGACTGCGCCAGATGTTTAAGCAGTCTTCTCACGACCGTGGCGGAATAAACATTATTAGTCCCAAAAGAAACACAGACCCTGAGGAAAAGCCCCCACCGCTTCCTCCATCAGTTCCACATCAACCCCCCCGGCCCCCTTAGCCTGTTTACTGCTTACCATGCATATTCCTGCCCCGCCGATGTCATTTGTCTCCCAGAGGGAAGTGCGCACACACACATTTGTTCTACTTGTATCAGAGCTCGCCCTCGCCCGCTCCGTAATTGAGATGCGCGGCAAGAACGACGCGGTCGATGCAAACATCCGGGAGCACTCAAGTGCCATAATTTAAAACTGCTCAAGTGCCGCATGAGAAAGTGACAAGACAAAGCACAGGAACAGGATGACACGTCATGCAGTGTGACATTGAAGCATAAACATACATGCAAAGAAGTCAGTCTTAATAAATTGGCTAGTTTGCTGCTTAAAAAAAAGGCCGGCATACTTCTCTGTGACCAATAAATGAGAATACGTGGGACAACTAAAAAGCTAAAAAAAATGTCAAGGCGGGGTCACATATACCGTATTTTTTAGAACCATGCGGCTTTTACCAAACACATCACAGTGAACCAATGAAAGTGAGAGAGAGAGAGAGAGAGAGAGAGAGAGAGAGAGAGAGAGAGAGAGAGAGAGAGAGAGAGAGAGACTGACCAAAGGGTACAAAAAGGCACTAAGCACTGTTTATAATATCGATAATAGCCTATTTAATAACTCTGAGACCCGCGGCTATTAATCCCAAGCGGCTACTGTATGTACAAATTTATTTCCATAGCCCAGAAGTTTTGGTATCAAGTGTTGTCATTTCTACACCTGATTTGGGTGTGATGTAAAGATGAAAGTCTGCAGTTGAAACATGTTCATTTCATTTCAAATCCAACGTGGCGGGGTTCAGAGCCAAAAAAGAGGTCACTTGTTTCCATGTCCCAATATTTATGGACCCGACTGTATCTGTGTCAGTGGCAGGAAATGGTTGGATTCAACATGACATCAAACATGGATAATGGTTAATAGAGTTCAAAGAGTTTAAAGCGTGTAGGAGGAGCAAAACAAACCTCAGAAATGTCCTTTTAGACTGTATGTCGGTTGTAGATTTTTACCCACGGGGGGGGGCTTGAACGTATGCACTAACTTTTTATTGACCGAGGCGAAAGCAGAAAGATAAAATCCATATTCCTTAATCTCTTTTTCATTGAAGAAAATGTAAGAGGAGCTTACCATCACGGTGGATCTGGCGTCAAACACCACGCGCTTGAACCTCTGGATGAAGCCGTCGCCTCCTTGAGCCTGCGGGGAGGCGAAGACACTTGAATGGAGTGGCGGGCGCAGACCAGGATTTTGTTTATATGCTAATTTCACGCCAGTGCTCTTTTGCCGTCGACCATTTGTCGCAATTACACAACGACAACTCCGGCAGTCGGCAATTATCGGCGTGTTTATAAAGGGCTCCGCGCGGAAGACAATTAGCGTTCGGGCTCTTGCCAGAAGCCTTTAAAATTTGGGTGTGCGCTCAATTATGGAGAAGGCGCACCTCCCCGGGCAGTGGCCTCTGTGAGCGGGTGGGCCAATTAGAGTCGGAGCTACGACAATTTTGGCAAGCTGAGGTGTCAGATTTGTTTACATACAAGTTGTCATTGTGTTGCCGCGTCAAATCGTGGATGGCAAGCAAGACACCGGCAGATAGGAGAAGAGATTTGGGGTGGGGGGGGGGGGGGGGGGGTGGAGACACTCCATAAACGTCGTAAAAAAAAATAGAAAATAAAATCTGCAAACGAGCCGGCACCGCCTGTCAGCCGCATCCGCTGGCGCTTCAGACGCGGTCTAACTACACAGCCCGCTCACTCGTGCGTTTCATCCGTCGGAGAGGAATGCAGCGGGATTTATTTATTTGACTTTGAAAAAGGCGGGACCGCTCTTTTGTAAATTAGGTCCATTCACTTGGACGAATTCCTGACGCTTCTTTCAAGTTTCGTGGAAAGCACACCCAGCATTGGAGCACATTCTTTGTGTTTCTGCATCGAGGAAGTGGCTGTGTGTGTTTTAACGAGGCAAAAAATAGCCAGGAGCTTTCCAGGAAACGGGAGAGGGCCTCTCTCTGCTGGTGTTTGGTTTTCGATGCTCTTGCGCGTGCAGCGGGCTCACGGTTAACGCGCCGCCTCTCCTGAACGGTGCGCTTGGATTACAACGCCGTGTCGTGTACTAATCTCACTGTTTGTCTTGGACCAAAAGAATGATTTGGAGATAATCTGTTCAGAGGGGATAGCGACATGAAATCTAAACACGCCAAAGGAGATTGCGACAAATACCTCATCGGTATGAACGCTGTTAAAAATGGGAGGCAACGCGTTTGGTTGCTGCGATCACAATGGGCTAGGAGATAGGAGCGTGCAAAATGGCTACTTCAAACTAAAACAGGAGATCGCCTGCCCTGTTAATGTATTTATTTTTGATCGCACTTTCCTGGTGCTCAGGCCCTAAATAGTTAGCAGGAGGTGAGCGGAATGCAGAATAGACAGTCAAGCGTGAGAAAAGTGATTTCATACCGGCACGGAACCGTTCAGAACGCCGCTGATGAACTGGACCAGCTGCTCCACCGTCTCGGTCGGCTGGCCGGGCAGGAAGTACTGCTCGTTGGCTGTGTTGAGGACGATAATGGAGGGCACCGTCACCTCGCTGAAAACAAACAGGAAACACAGATTTGTTTTTTTTTTAAATTCTTAATCCATGGTACAGACCACTGGCATAAAAGCAGGAACAAATTGTGGCTTCTGCGGTAAGAAAATTGCCACAGAGAAGAGTACAATGGCATAATCGACAAAGCCTTTGTACTTTTCCCATGGGAATGCTTTCAGAGAGAGAATTCCTTGTTGTTGTCTGCCAGCGACAAGGCGAAAAGCAGATGGGCCCCGGCCTTGGAATTGACTCAATGTGTCCTGCAAACGGTTTGCATGCTCAAGTCAAACGCTTGGAGGGTTTGTGTCAGTCAGTCCAAACGGACTTTTCAATTGTTGGCCAGGCAGACCAGGGGAACAAGCTCATAAAAACGAACATGTTTTTCCCCCGCCATCTCGTATAGCGCGCCGTCGCCAACCGGGCCGCGCTCGCTCACACTTCAGCACGCCGCTCCTATTTGCCGTGTTCCTCTAACGGGCCGAGAAAACGGCACACGCATGCGTGAGCATTCATCACTGCGACGCGCGAGAGTCATCAAAGCCTTCGCCACGCTGACCGGCTGAGCCCTGCAAGATGTGCATACACGAGGCACAAATGTGCAACCCACCTAATGTGCTCCCTACTGCGAAGAGATGGCGGCCATTTTAAATAAATGTAGATTAGCCCTTAACCTCACTCAGACTGGAGAACAACGAACGGTCTTATCGATCAAAATCCAAGTGGCAGTGTTGTAACCCCTTCAGCGACGGATCTCTCAACACTAGCACACAAAATGTTTGATGTGAAACTCATATTTATGTACGCAGACTGAAATCTGGACCCGTTCAGTTGAGTGCAAAGCTATTAATCTGGAGTGTGAATGTCAACAGGTGGATGCAGAGGATAATTGTACCATCTGCCATCGAGTGGAAAAGCACTGAATTGAACTTCATGAGAGGGGTACAAACGTTAGGAGCAGGATCATCTTTGTAAAAGCAAAAAAAAAAAAATGTTATCCGGCTCCTGTATTGCTCGTCATTACTGTCGCACGGGCCCCTCATGCCGTGCGGCAAGTGTATATTAAGATCAATTCTGATCTCATATAAATGCTAATTATGTCCCATGCGCTAGGAGACGGTCATCTTAATGACTTGAAAAGCGAATGGATAATTTAAACGCAATGCTTATTTTGTCCACACAGTAAGTATTTTCAACAAACGGATTGCGCTTCCAGTCAAGAATGTTTTGGGTTGCGTGTGTCACTCAGTGGTGCAATGTGGGTACATGGCTTCCCAATGTGCATGCCACGAACTTGGAGAAGCAAGAGGCTGGAACGGGAGATGGAGTGAATCAAGGATTGGTTTATTTTCGGGTTAGTGCAGGAAATGAGTGTAAGCACAAGTAATGTCCTCGAGTGCATGCGCGCGTTTGTGTGTTTGTGTGTGTGTGTGTGTGTGTGCGCACGCGCGCCGCAGGGTGAAAGCAGTGGCAGCCTGATGCCAGACAGGCTGCTGCCAGGACGCAGTAATCGCTGTGATGACAGAAAGCGGGATAAAAAGCCATCAGATTTATTTCGCCGGGCGTCCTGAGGGAGGGGATTAGTGGACATTGATGGGGCCAGGATTTCATCCCTCAAAGGAGGGCAATTAATCCTGCGCTGCTGCGTCCAAACACCCGCAAAATCGAGCGCGGGAAGCCCGATCGCGTCCCTTCATATTCGCCCGGTAACCGCCGGCAGATTTCCAAGACCCGACTGTTTAATGAAGTGCGTCGGATGTTTCGCAGGAAGCGTACGGATGCCTTAGTCATGTACTTGATGATATTAAGACGCATCGTTTCCTCAAGTGGATATCCGCGTCAACTCAAGCGAATACCCGCGTCTACCGCTTCATTAAAAGTGGGCCTTTCGGTGGCTCTCGGCCGAGCATCGTGAGGACACCTCTTTGACAAGCCATTAGGTGATACGTGTCACTGTGTACGCGCGCCACTAATCCTCAAACGCACCGCCTGTCGTCGGTTTTACTATCAGCATCGCACACCAGCAGTTTTGCGGCGTTTTGCTGCACGCGAGCAAGGCGCACGGGAAGTGAGGGAGCGAGGATGACGACGAGGACAAACGAGAGAGTGAAGAAGATCGACTGTTTTGCCGCTCACCCCATGATGAGGCTGTTGATGTAATCGTTGCCGTCCATGTGGCCAAACTGGAAGTCTCTGTGGACACAAGGCCACATTAATTAAGTGTGGCTTAAGATTATGTACACACCACACACACACACACACACACACACGCACACACACAAGAGTAAACTTCCTGTCTGGGTGGAATGCAAACACAGTTCTGCTCCAATTACATGATGCGGCTGTGAAAAAGCCACAGACTTGATTTCGGGAATAAATCGTCACAACGGCAGCTCGATGAAGAATTCTATTCGGATTTGACTGTGTCAGCAGAGTGCATTTTGGGTAGTCCAGGTAAGACGGCTGCAGCGGGCGTCCGGGGGAATGACTGATTAGGTGCGCTGTCGCTATTCATTGTAGCCTGCATCATGGCGGCGGCGCTCGTGTCAATGATGAAATTATGAGGAGACGGGAGCATGTCATAAATGCAGAAAACGCAACGAAAACATCACTCCGGCTTCTTGATAATTTTGCTGACAAGTGCCAGGCTACGCGGGAATGAAGCTAATAAAAAGTCTCAATCTGAATGTCTATTAAGGGACCCGGGGGACGTATACAGATCCAAGATGTAATTACTTTTTCTTGTTCGGGCCCAAGATGAGCAAACGGAGCGCAACCTTTCCTGGTGGAGGATTCGGGCCACTTGCTTCAACTTCTCCCCCCCCGGGGAAGTGAATCCATAAAGCGGGATATCCATTGAAGGCATGTTTATTATCTGATTGGCTCAGTGGTTCTGTCGGTAAAGGCTTCTAAAATTGAATCTCAAAGGCTGAAGGCAGGGATGGGGGGGGGCATACTTGCAATCGGGAACATAGAGGAGCGGTGATATTTAAGGTAACAGCCCACAAGCTATAACTCAGAAAAGGCTCAGATTTTTTTTTTTTTTGTACTTTTTACTACCATCTGGTTAGGTGTGTAAATGCAACAGATTGTGATGCTTGGATTGAAGCACAATGAAAAATGGGCCCGCCATCCCTGAATACATCAACAAATTGGATGTCATACCTGCTAAAGTGCTCTCTGTATTCCCTGGCAACCGTCTGAATCAACATTTTCAATCTGTGGGTGGAAACAAATAACAACAACAAAAAGACTGTGAGCAAACTTGCCCTGAAAGCGTCGGCGAGTCTTATCTTGATTGGCCAGACGTGCACTAGAAGGTGCTGGCGTACCTGCCACTCTCCTCTGTGGGGTCCTTCTCGTCGATGATTGCGATCGCCACCAGTTTGCCTAAAGGGGGCAGACAAGGGGGCGGGCTGCAATCACAGGAAGCAGGCGAGAGAACAATGGCCAGCCAGATAAGATGCTCAAATGAGCCTTCGTCTCGCTCGCTAATATTTAGCTGGACGTGGGAGAAAATGGATAGATTGATTACAATATCCCTTTGCAAGCCTTCAACGTAAACGGATTAAATCCTGGATTTGGAGTGGTTGTGACGGGAGCGGCCCTTGATGGTGCCTTGCAGAGCTGTCGGGTTTTATTGGTCAATGAGCCATTTTCGCAGCCAAATAGAAGCGGTTGTTTTCAAAAAGGGCTTTGACCCAAACTGTGCTGTCGTCAGGAGTAATAAAGGACGAAAACCACTGGCGCACGTTGTTTGATCTGCATTACACGCTTCGAGGTGCCCTAAAGTTCAGCCTTTTTTTTTTTTTTTTTTTTTTTTTTTTTTTTAATCAAACGGAATCTAAAGGGCACGGTCGCGCTGCCGTCCGGGTTCGGGCACTTAGACATGGACGCCACGCTTTGTGTCGGTACAAGTTACGTCGTGTGGCTGACGGGGGGGCCGCCGAGCGACAAAATGGCATTCCGCTTGGCGGCACACTCGCATTCCCGGCGCTTTCAAAGAACAGTCACACTCGTCCGATATCTAGGCGACTATTTCAAAGCCTCCATCTTTAATCAGCAACGCTCTAATTAAAAAGCATTTCTGTGTGGCGGCAGAGCTTGTTAGGTGCCATGCCTGGCTGGGTGAGACAAGTGGGCTGAATCAAAGTGCCCGTCACAGGAAGGTACACATTAAGATGAAACGCCGAAATGCTGCTGCGTCTAATATTAGACGGCGCGCAGACTCTCTTGAAACTGCTGCTCGCATTAAGCTGGAGACTTCCTGTGGGAGGGTGCGTCTGCAAAGTAGAGCAACATGCTACGGATTTGAGAAGGAGGAAATGTCCTTAAACGACCCGACCGCCAGACATATCGGAGGATGTGATGACTGGGAATAAATTGAAGTTGTGGGGTGGGGGTTCATGTACAGAACAGTTGTCCCTCGCAGGATATTGCGGTTGACTTTTTGCAGGTTCATGCATTGCATTTTTTGACGAGAATGGTCAAAGTTTTGGCTCGTTTCACACTATAAAGTGCAACGTGCCAAGCGGCAAAGTCCAACTGTCCTCCGTTACACAACTTCGACATGAACATCTGCGCCCCACAATCATTTGTTAGCATTTTATATGCGCGAAGGTAAAAAGGTCCAGTGTGGAGAATTTAGTGCCATCAAGTGGTGAACTGATAGAATGCAATGACCTCAACTGGACGCGGTGCATTTTGAAGCACGCTCAAGACGGTGCCTCGGAGAGACAAAACCTGGCAAGCGTACCGCTAATTACTTCAGCAGGGGTGCGAGCAAAATGTCACCCCAAACGACTCTTACTATACGCTGTAAGTTCATGGCAGTCGTTACGCAAGCTGCAGTTAGGGGTTAAGGAACCACCTTCGCTAAGTTTGTCCGAACACACATTTAACACACCGCCCCTTTAAAAATATGCATAAATAATCTCACGAATATTTGGTGGCTGACGGGTGTAAGCTTTGCGATAAAGGAGGAGCGACTGTACCTGTTTCTCCGAGCTCGTACAGCGTGAAGCCATCAATCTGCAGGTACCCTTGGAAGCGCTCCCTGTTGACCCAACTGGTCAGGCTGCCATCGGCGTACTCTGTGACACGGAAGCACACGCACAACCTTGTTTTAAGATTGCAGTGCCAGGTCAGCTCCACGCTGAGCTAAGTTTGAGCAAGTTTTAGGGCAAAATGTAAACGCCTAGATTTATTTATTAATTTTTTAATGTGTTGCATCGAACCATGTAAAGTCAATGTTGCTAACTAGGAGGAAAAATCAGTACCGTGACCACAAAAAAGAAAAAATAGTACCTGTACATAAAAGCATGTCAGGATGAGTTTGGTGGTGAAGAACAAGACCACCACGAACCTTTTAGGTGCCCCTAACTTCAAAAATGACCCACCAAAATCTGCTTAAAAGTCTCCCCAGGACAGCTAAAGCTGAAACAGCTACAAAGGAGGTGAAGGGCTGGGCACAACTCCTTATTGTCTTTACATTTCATTTCCTGTCGGTGTCCAAAACCCTGCTGTCTACGTAGTCCGTGTCATTTTTCATCTTGCAAATCAATGTAGCGTGACACGATGGCGGTTGCCCGGACACCCTCGATCAAGTTTCCGCTTAAAACGCATGAAAGGGAGCTGTGGATTCCAACAGACAGGCACTGTGGAAAACAAGGGATGCCTCATGAAGAATGAAAAAAAAAAAAAAAAAAAAAGTCTTTTGTGCGGGCATGTGAATGGGTCCGCGCCGCATGTTGCCACCCGCACATCTGGCGGCCACGTGTGGAGCCGATCGCGCTCCCCTGGATGAAAATAGCAGAGGGAAGGTTTGAAAAGCGCTCACGGAGCGCCTGAAAAAGGCGACAGGGACCTCATTACGATACCTTAATAAGTTATCACGACCTGGTGGCCACCACTGAGAGTAATTACAAGATCGGCAATGACTTTGACGCGCTTTTTAAGCAAGGCAGGGGAGCCACCCCAAAGGGCCTAATAGTGAACACGATTTCTAACAGCGCAAGGTCATCCTTGGCGTGGATATTAATGCTGAGTTTGCGTAAGAAGGCTGCTGAGTCGACTCCAGCGCATTCTTTCCACAGATGTTCTGGTTTTATGGGCACACGCGCTTCCTTCCCCCCAGAGCGACCTGAAGGCCCCCGCGCTAAGCGGCGTCCCGCCCACCTCCACTGCATCCGCTTTCACTTTGAAACATATTCGAGCCACACAACCTGGGCGACGGCGTTCTCGGACGTCGCGATGCGGCCTGCTAAAGTTACCTCGGAGGGGATGAGGAATAATTTTTTTTTTTTTTTAAACAATAAGATGATTCAATGTCAAGGGCAGTAAATATTTAAAGTTGTGAGCCGATTGCTGCTCAGCTTTTCACAAAGAATACAAATGTTTGTATCATGTGAATACGACAATACGACATTAGATGTCCTACGCAGCTCCACTCGTCTCAACACGGCATTCTGAAAAGCATTGTGTTTGTGGAATTTGAGTTGAGCAGCAAAATTCACCTGTTTTTAGCCATCTCAGGAGGCGGCCATCTTTCCACTTGCTGTTGACTGAAAACGACCTCACAGCTGTTCAGGACTCAGGTAACGACCAATCCTGGATCACCTGTTTTCTGAAGTTGAGCCATGATGGGTCATTTGCTGAGCCCTGACCAGCTGTGATGTCATTGGCAAAATGGCCGCCTCCGAAAATACCAAAAATAAGTAAAATCCATCCATGCATACATTTGATGCCGATTTGCACTAGACTTGAGTTGGGCACAAAAATAGGGCCTTATTGTTGACTTAAAAGTTAATTTTAGCACATACTTTTGTACCATAATTAATTTGACATATGTTATCTATACTTTGCGTCACTTTCAATGCCATCCTCGTCATCTTGGCTGACTACGATCCAGCGTGTTATCATCTTCAGTGGGGCGTCAGCGTCTTGTCATCGCTGTCACGGCGCGTTCGGCGGCCCGTCGCTTCAGTGCCCGCTGTAAATGTATGCAAACTAATTCCGCCTCACAGCTGGCTCCGTTTTGTACGCTCCCAAAGGAGGAGCGGCGCAGTCAAATCGGAGGGAGATTAGCGGAGAGACTCTAAGCCGAGCGATAACTAAGACGGTCCGACACCGAAGCGGCCTCCTCCGCGTCGCATCCAGATTGACCTTGTCGCTCATCACACCCTTCAGACACGCCGCCGTCCGGCCGCTGATCAAAACCTCCCGAGCAAAAGCTTCTGTAGCGTGAAGGATTGTGGGAAATTAAATATGCATGAGCTTCGGTGCCGTACTCTTATTTTAACAGGAGACTTGAAGGAGCGGGGAGGAGGGGGGCGGGGTTGCAGTGCCTTGCGACCGTGCACTAAAGCTGTGAAACCAAAACAACGAGGCGCCGCCCACCTCACGTGTCATATGCGGCTCGGTAGCGCTTAAGCTACAAGCTCTGCGGTCTCCCACGCCGGCCTGCTCCGCGGCTACGCCAGGGGAGACAACCACTGTGACATGGCTCGGGGCCTCGCCGTACAGTGGCGCAAAGATGAAAGAGGAGCACGGTTCAAAGAGCATACATGGCAATGGCGAGTGATGAAAAAGAAAACGGAGAGACTGTTCGGGAGAGCTCGTGAAAACTCGACGATAAGGTACCTGACCGCCCCTAAAATTTTCTCAACGGATTTAGACGATTCACAAAAATGATCAATTTAAGAAATAAAACGGCGGATTTCCGCGGATCCGCGGAAAATTGCCATGTATGAAAGAGAGAAGGCAGGCCGGGCGAGCCCTTGAAAGAAGAGCCGACGACACTGTTTCGGGGCGCAGCACTCACCGTCGTAAGTGAAGTAGGCGCCATCTTTGAACACGATAACCGCAGGCAGCTCCGGCAAGGTGACAGACTGAAAAGTTTAACACGCAGAGAATGTGAAACAGGACAGCAAACCCGAGGTGACAAATAACCACGCTCAGCACATTTCACCTCTGGCAGGACGTCTTCTGAGCCCGAGAAGAAGTAGGTATAGACGATGAGCTCCGTGGCAACGTCGTTATATTTCTCCTGCCAAGACAATACAAGTATATGTGAATATATATATAACATTTAAAAAAATTTTAGCAGTCCTGTATTTAACACAAACATTTAGGTGACACGCACTCACCTTGAGGGGAGACTCGCCGCCAACGTACACGAACAGGACGTCGTGCCGCTTCATTATATGCTCGAACATCTGCTTGCTGGGAAGGCCTCGAACGGCCGGCCTGCAGAGAGCAGATCGAGGTCGTGAAGATTGAAACAAAGCGACAAAGTACACCAGCTAAGGAGATCCAACACAAGGGCTGGAGCAAAAAATGTTGCAGCAATTGGGATCAATGCTCCTCCCAATTCAGTGCTTTAAGATCCAAATATTTTAATCAAAGCACATTCGAAAAGTAAAAAACGGCTGTACCGGAGGACACCAAGAGTACCTCCTGCTGTGAACTGTATGTGAATTTAGATTGTGAGATTGTGGTGCCACCCAGTGGTGATGCGCGCCAACTTGCAGCCAATCTCAAATTGGGAGTTGAGAAACAGATTCGAGCTCAAAGGAGAAGAAATTGGGGGAAGGGGAGCAAATAGGGCGGAGGTCGTTAGCGAGTGCACAGCAGCGTTCCCGTGGAGACGGAGTAGGTAGTGTTCATTCCATTTGCCGCTTTCGGCAGAGCATCAGCACTCACCCCGCCACCCGATTGGCAAATTCCACAATGTCGTCTTTTGTCCTTGGACCTTTGTAATTGTAGGCCAGGTCAGCCTTCAATCTGCAAGTGGGGGGGACACATGATTCATGTTTAGTCAAGAAAGTACCAATATGTGGATCGAGATGCATTGGTGGGGTACACGAGAAGAAAAAAAAAAATCTTTTTGTCAACCTGATTTGACCCATCAAGACATTGATCAAGTTTGCAATTTGGTTAAGCAAAAAAATAAAAAATTTAAAAAAAATAAAAATTTGCAAGACTGACACTTCAACTTTTTTCATGTGTTTTCAACTGGATTTTCTGGGGAGGGGGTTCTATCCCCAATGGACAAACAGCTCTGATCTTTTTCTACCAGTACCAGCCCAACACAGATACCTGGTGTTGGTAGTCACCCATTCCTAAATTATTTAATTTTTATTGTTTTTTTTTTTTAACGATACCTTTTTTAAACCTGTATTGAACTGGAGCACTGGAATATGGGCTAAAAAGAGCACAGTGGCGTGGAGTGTGGCTACGGTTACATCAGCCCACAGGGCTTTATGCTCTCAGAGGAGGGTGGGGAAAAGGTTCAATTGGGCGGTTGGCGGGGTACACCCTGAATCGGTTGCCAGCCAATCGCAGGGAACACAGAGACGAACAACCGTCCACGCTCACACTCACACCTTGGGACAATTTAGAGTGTTCAATCAGCCTGCCATGCATGTTTTTGGAATGGGGGGGGGGGGGGGGGGGGGGGGGGGGGGTCTTCTGCTGTCCTCTGACGGAAGTTTCATCACTCGCCTGCGCCGCGTGAAAAGCATTTCCCCAAAGGAGCCGGATGAAACGCCTACCGCGCTAACTACATCTGAGAAACGCTTTTTACACATGAATACATCAAGGCGAAAATGCTTATTTCTCGCGAACAACGTCGCTTACAATTAAAAGCATCTGGAGGTGTCGCGGTAATAGAATTGAAGTAACATGTTGTGAGCAAGGATTGTCTTGATTACGCCTCAGGCAAGCAGCAGCAGTATCAGCTGCAGCACGCCGCGTTCCTTTCTGAAGGACACATCTCCACAGGCCGAACCTCCAGGGGAAAAGACTCGAGAGGAACATAGAACAAACCTCGCCGAAAGGCACTCCAGATGCAGGGAAATTTCATGCAAATGAAAAGCACAGGGAGAAAACGTATTGCAGCAGCCGGTGCTGCTTTTGATCTCAGTCATAAATTACCAAGCCAATTTTGGACATCATTAACCCATTCAAAGCCGTGGATTGTGAAATTCAGATTTCAGAAGTACTACAATGAGTAAGAGATGCCTGTAGGTGGCGGTGTTGCATCGCTTTGGATTTGAGATCAGGCAATCTGAGTTTAACAGAGTTGACCAGAGAGAAAAGTCAATACATACATCGTACAAGACTCCGAATAAAAAGTCTTCTTGTCTCAAACTCTTCATGATAAAGGGGTGTCCTTCAGTTTCTGACTCGATCGACAAGGGGATCAAGACGAGAGTAATGCCACTAGCCCTCCATGACTCAAAATCAAAAGCATTTTTGAACCGACTACGGAACAGACACTTACAGTTTTATCGTGGGGTAACCTCGCACGCCAAACTCTGACGCCATACCTACCAATGAAAAGACAAAACTTCCTTGAATCGTTTAAGTATTGACTTTGTAAGGAAAATAAATACAAGACAGCGACTCACCCGAGTAAGCGGTGGCGTCCATCTTGCCGACACGGACCGGCGACCCGGAGAGCTTCAGCTCGGCACCCACGTCGTGCCACACTGGCTCCAGTTTTTTACAATAGCCGCACCAAGGCGCGTAGAACTGAAGGCGAGATATTGACAACAGTTGCACCACGTTCTGGACAGCCATGAGCGAATCAGACACTGCGATGATCTTGACACTGCAGGGCCATTTCAAGTGGCAGCAGTGGTGTAAAAGAACAGCTTTACATTTTCCAAGTAAACAATACCTGTTTGATCAGGATCATCATCAATAGAATACACATGATCCAAATGATCTATTTTATCAAGTATTGCCATTGAGCTGTGACAAAATATTTGCGGCAGTATTCTGCTTCACTGGGGTTCATGCACAACAAACATAATAAATGGCTCTTTTGGGACCTCTCATCCTGCACTTTAAGCAAAGAAAGACTTATTTGTATCATTTCCTCTTCACCTATGCGGCATGAGAATTCTAAAAGAGACTCCGACTGTAACATAAGCCCCCCTGGCTTTGCCTGCATGCATGGCTTGTCATTGACGAGAACACAAGCACAATGTAACCCTCCATTCAGCCCGCCACCCACTTCCACCACGCACGTTGGTACTTCCGTCAGGGATGAGCCCAGTGGCATCTGGCCGGGCATGAATTGAGTTTGCGTGTGTGTGTGTGTGTGTGTGTGTGTGTGTGTGTGTGTGTGTGTTTGAGTGAATTAAAACTTACATCAACCAGCCAGATGTCATTCACTCTGGTCTCTTTAAACCTGCCAAACAGAAAAGTGGACACCTTGCTATCAACAAAAAATTTGGACAGAATGAAACCAATGCATTTAGTTTAAAATGTTAAGTTTGAGCTTGTTTAAATTGAATGTACTATATATATTTAAAAAAACAAATCCAGGATAATAGTTTGTGATTACATTGATTCATGTTTAACACACAGCAAACAAGTCTTGAATGATTGACGTACGTGTCGTCGAGATCCTCCACAAAGGCAAGCACCTCCGAACCCAAAAAGGCAGCAAAAACTGCAGTGAGGAATAAGATAAAGCCAAGTCATGCAACGTTTTTGTGTGAATGTTACAAAATTAAACGGCAGCTCCTCCATCCTGGTGGCAAGCATCCCCACCAGGCTAAAGAAGCTAGCATCACCATTGGCATCATTCGGTGCCACAATTTCACCAATAGATGTTTTTTGGCCGGAGAGAGGTCGCGCTCTCACAGACGAAGGGCAAAGGCAAAGAATAAATTGAAAGAGCGAACGTACCTCCATAAAACAAAGAAACTTTCACTCCTGCCATCGCTTCGATTGAAAACGGAAAGCCGGAAATACACCCGCGAAATGGGACCATTCTACGCATGCGCGTCCAACGTCAGTCCAGCCTGAACGAGGCAAGCGTTTCCCGCATGCGCGTGACGACATCCGATACAACTTTTTTTTTCCTCGTTCATATTTTTATTGTGACGTAGCATGTATCAAACTATATAGTCATTTTTGTGAAATTAAATTTTTTTGCACGGAATAGGCTAACAGGAAGAAGATATTTCATATTCATCTGAAACCGATGCACGATCTCCCCAGGCCACAAGATGGCGCTGGGATATCATAACAAAGAGCCTGTTGGTTGCTCGCTCATTTTATTAAAAATGTGTTGGTTTTAAAATATTTTAATACTGTCAGCACAGTTAACAGAAAATTTACAACATAAACATTCCTTACATTATAATCAGCATAAAACTCATCCTGGTTATTCACATTAATAAAATGAAATAATTAAAGCTGTCATATTATTTCATAATTATCGGCCATGCTCGTCATCATTTAATTGTTTTGATATACTCGCATTTCATACACTATGCAGCAGGACATGAAGAGTTATTTCAACCAGCTGAACTTTTACATCATGTGTTTCTTGAGGGCAAAGCGCTAAAACACCAAAACTTCTTCAGTGAGAACGAGTTGTATTTTCTCACTGGCTGCATGGCGATCATGACTGCGTTACTAAACAGAGCCATGGTGAGGCCTCCTGTGCCAACTTCGCGAGGCTTGAATGCCTCTGTATTTGAAGGAGTGGGGGGCAGGGGAGGAACAATACCGGACGTGAGTTGTCGGGAGCTCGCCCGTGGTGTCTCCTACTTTTGGCAATTCAAGTAACCCAAGTGGCTGAAGTTGCACAAAGAACAACACAAGTTTGCATTTTTCTATTTTGTCGGTAGTCATAGCTGATTGAAGGCACTCAAGTGAAGCAAAAATGTAAACATCGAATGGGAGGACTCATACAACACAAAAGAAATTAATTTGACTCAGCTGTTTGCTTGAAAGTTAAAAGAGCGGGCATTATGAGTCCCCTCCCCCAGCCCTGCACTGGATTGCCACGTTCAGGCCCTCAGTAAACCCACTGACCTCACATGGCCTGTCGTCTTTTCTGGTGGTGATTCAGAGCATCACATGATCCCAACACTCATTCTCTCCTCCTAACATTACAATCTAGGTTGAAATACAATGACACTTGAAGTCGTGAGTGCAGTGACCTAGTGATTAGCACATCCACCTCACAGTTCTGCAGGGCAGGGTTCAAGCCTCAGCTATGGCCGTCTTTTCTGGAGTTTGCATATTCTCCCAATGCTTGCATGGGATTTCGACAAGTACTCTTTCTTCATGTAAGTTATTTGCATACTTAACTGCCAATAGGTGTGAATGTGAGAATGAATGGTTGCTTGGCGACCAGTCAAGGGTGTAACCTGCCTCTTACGTAAAGTCAGGTGGCTCCAGGTCTTCTGCAACCCGACCGACTAAACAAGCCTTATAGGAAACTGAGGGATAAAAACAATTTTGCATGAGGACCGCTGTCTCGCTTATGTGGAAATTTTGTTGCATAGCATGAAATGTTGAAGGGACCGCAATGGGTTCCGGGAGGCACACCGGGATGGGTGTTTTGTTTCAACACTTCCATGAGAAATAATCCATCACCTTTAGCCGTCAAAGCCTCAAAATCCGCCACGCACAAATCCTCTTTGAGAGGTTGCATTAGGCGCACCAAAATAGCACAAGAAACAAAGATGGCAGAAAGAGCTTCCTAACGACTTATTGTAATCCCGCGGTAACGCCAGGGTGGGTTGTTAAACTGCTGACTTTGAATTTCGGGCGGCCGGGTAGCACGTGTCATTTTGCCTCAACATCTTCCAGGATGAATCGTTGAAAAAGTCCCATCGGTGCTATCTCGCTGTTGGTTTTCTTTCAATAGTTCAATAGTTCCAGACAGCTCCTCATTCCAAGATGTCAGTCTCAAACGGTACCAGGTGGTAGTAGGACAGGTTGGTAACGTATGCCTCCGTTTCCTCATCGCACACGTCCGCATGCATGGGCAAGAACTCTGGTCCGTCTTCGTACCTGACGCAAGAAGCAAAGAATGCATGGCTGGAGTTATTTGCTCTGCTTCCCATGCACACCCAGGGAAGGAAAAGGGGGCCCCCCGGCAAGCTTCCTGTTGAATTAAGTGGTGGAGAAGAACGGGGCTTGAATCATTCCGTTTCACTCACGTGTGCTCCGCCGAGTCTGTGGAAGAGGGTCTCGCCTTCTTGTCTGGCAGCTTGTGGTCAAACACGATCGTTTCGGTATTAGCCAGACAGAAGCCGTTTGAGCGCATGATTTCTGAAGGATCAAAATAGATGGAACTGCATTTCGGGTCCAATCAGGGCCATGAAGAACGGGACTCGAGAAGGACAATTTACCCGATATCTTGACCGGACTCTCGAAACAAGGCTGGATTCTGTGCACCTTGTCGTTCCGGAGCACCTGGTCCAGCGGCGAGCGCTCAAAGAAAGTCAGCATGACTTCGGATCTGGAATACTACGGATGGCGCCGATGCATGAGTGCGACGTTGGCCAAAACGTTGCAGCCTCTCGGCGCCTGCGCCCCGACCCACCTTGCACGGCATGTTGATGGCGTTTTTCAGCAGCCTTTCCACCTCGTTTAGCTTCTCCTCGATGTCGTTTGCTTCTTTGATTTTCACCAGGCCTGAAATGACAAAATAGAGTCAAGTCAGGAATTCAAAAAAAAAAAAAAAATGGATGAGTCTGGTAAGGAAGAACAAACCAATTCAAATAACTTTGGGGTGAACTAAATGGAAAACTTTCTTGAGGTGTCCAAAAATGTTTAGCCCATGTTAAAACAGCAAGTCAAACAAGCATTCCGTAATCAAGCCCGCGGGGATATTTGACGGCATATAAAGAAGAAGTGGGGAGTGACATCAGCACATTCGGCAAGACCCACGCGGGCGCCTCCCCTGTGTGGCGAGCAAGGCGTCATTTTAGGTTCAAGTAAACACTCGCGCTGTGTAGAAGGACTGAGTAAGAGCTCATCAATCTTGACGCCAAAATCGGGGCTGCTGAATCAACACAGGAAGCGAGGCCTCGTACGGCTTTGCTCCGTGTTATCATTGCTGAAGGATCTTGAAAGGCTTTCCGGTTTACTGCACTGACTTCCGGGCCACCGTCGTCCATGAACAATCGATTAAGAGAGAGATTTAAGTGAGTCTTATCATCTCAAAAGTGCTTTGTATTTGTATCGTGAAGAATTATCTTGCCAGAGCAACAAAAACATCACCTTCTTAACTCATTCACTCCCAAAGACGTTTTTAAACGTCTTTTCAGACTTGGTCCAGAATTGGCTGATACTGAATGAGTTAATGGAGATAAGACATACTGTATTCGTTGGCGGGCTACTTCCTGGTTTGTGGAATCGGATGCTTGATTCTTGGTGGAGGTTAACAAGACTGACTCACAGACCTCCACTGCCGCGTGTCAACCAAAATGTTGTGGTTTAATTAGCCGGCTAAGGCGTTGTCCATTCAAAACAACACTCTAATTGGCAGCTATCGTTTGCGTGGAACTCATAAGCACGTGTGAACATTTTGACACTTTAGCACGTCTCCGCAAAGCGTCTGCACTCTTCAACAAATCCTTTCTCGTCCGCCTGTCCAGAAACGACCTTCCTGCTAAGCCCCTCGGGCCAAACAAGCTGAATATTCATCAGGTGGTTCATATCGATCCGTGCTCAACGGTGGGACGTGACCCTTCTCAAAACGGCCCCGTTTTTTTTTTTTTTTTCAAACTGCTGTGAGCAATCGCTTCCCGTCTGCGTGAGCGCGTGGAAGCTATGTAGCCGTCAGAGGCCGGAGCGGGGACTAAATATAGGAAGTGAAGTCGTCTGGCTCGCTCTCATCATGACATCAGAGTGTGCGACGCCTTTCCTTGTTGCCTGGACGCGGAACAGACACAGGAAAACAGAAGAAGATCCAGGGCCAGGATTGACTTTTGAACAAGAGGAAAGCCAAGCAAAGACACCCCCCGCCCCCAATGTGACAACAGACATGCTTCCCTGTCCTGTCAACAACTCGTGCACGATTTCCGTGCAACAGCAGGAAGTCAAAACATTCCAGGCGCAGCTGCAGGGATGTTTTGACAAATAGTTGTCTCTCTACGCCACAGACATGCGCCATCGCATTGGAAAGGGCTTTCAAAGCAGTGCTGGGAATTATCCGAGTACAAATACTTTGTTACAGTAGATAAGATTTTAAAAATAGGCTTGTTAGGTTTTTTTTTTTCAAGCTCCATAGATGACACGACGATAAAATGACATCAATAGAAAGTGGCTGAGATTGTGATCTGATGAAAAACCCCGGACAGCGAGATGTTCTCTACTGATCTGTTCTCTATTGAAGAGAAAAAGGGTGGCAGCTATTGATGCTAATCAAGCTAGCTCTTGAATAAAATCTAATTAAATTCTTCCTCAGACTCGGTACGCTTTTACTTTTATGTAACGGTGTCAAATGACTACTTCTATTTTGCTAGAGTTCTTTTTTAACACAAGTATCAATACGTGTGAGTGTGAGAATTAAAGTTGAGCATTAATAGATACTGACCTTTGACCTACAGCTAGTGTTACCCCAGAGTCATGAAACAGACTTAAATAGCGGCGGCTTTTATGTCTGTCTGACAGCAAAAACCTGCATCACATGTTCATCCTTGCTATAAGTGTAAATATTGACTGCCACAAAAAAAAACAAAAAAAAACGATTGTAGGGATTTACCAAAGACAACTGAACCGTCCATTAAGCAGTTCTTATTGCCTTGTGGTCCCATAAAATTGATCAAAAGCGTTAGACTATGCTCTCATGCAGGCCTCGGGCTGTTGACGTACCATCCAAAAGTAGACTTTGTTCATTATTGACCTGTCCAAACGTGTCAAAGTGACTGAAAAAGAAAAAACAAGAAGCTGTGACTGACACAGATGATTGTTTCCTTTTATGGATGTGCATCATTAAGTGGTAAATTAAGATGATGCAACTAACCACGGGGATGGAAAATGCGCACGAAGCAATTTTAAATGGAATACTGTTATTATGTCTGATTCTCGTTTGTCACTTTTGCTAAAACACAAATGAAAGTGTGGGGAGTTCACTGCTGGGAAACTGACCATCTAAAGTTTAAAGAGGAAATAAAATGATGCATACTAGAGAAGTCGACTACTTTATCAGATAGGAACTGGTTCATTGGCAAAAAAAAAAAAAAAGAAAAAAATCAAGTTTGATATATACATTTTCTTTCGATATGTGATTAAAATGTTTTTTAAAATCGAATTCAAGTGCTTTGCGTGTACATTTTGACTCTGCCACAAAGCAATTAAAAAGAAAAATAATGTTACAGAAGGCATCGACTGTACCGTGTAGGAACTTGTTTCTTCGTCAAAAGTCTAAATTTATTTATTTCTAATTAAAATAATTTTTTCTTAAAATGTGGGTTTTTAAATATATTGAATGCGGGTGTTAAACTCAAGGCCTGGGGGCCAGATTGTCTTCACGTTTAAAAACACTGACATTTTTTGTGACCGATCCCCCTTTTAAAACGAATGTAATATTTGAACAGTTTTTAATGGCTTCTGATTTCAAAAGTAGGTATTCATCCATTTGTTGGGAATACTTGATGTCAGTATGAGGCGATCATAGTTTTGGGTTCACAGTCAGCCCTCCAAAGTAAACCCCAATAAGTTTGACACCCATGGTCTCGAACTATCTAACCCCAAAAATTTTTTTCTGAAATTATTTTTATAACTCAGGCAAAAATAGTAAAAAAAAAAAAATACAATATTCTAATATATTTTGACTTTAAAAAAACAATAAGTGTCCCAAGGTTTGTCAACATTTGTCCAAAACTGGGCAATTTTTGTCCACATTTTGTGCTGTATTATCCAAAAATGGAGGAGAAATTCATTACTTTTTTCCTAATGGGAAAAAAAACTACAATTGTCATTAAAGAATTATTTAAGCCTCTTAGGCACTTGTCAAGATGCATTTTCACAAATGATACGTCCTATTTTTACACGAGTCAACTTATATTCCTACTTTGGTGCAAACGACGACAACTATTTGGGCGAATTTTCGTGCCAGGCAGCCGAGTCAGACCCCGCAAAATCCCACGCAAACGACCCCGGCCCAAAAAGCCCACTCCGAAACTTTTCTATGCTCGAGGCTCCCCGACCGATAAACCGACCTTGGGTGAGGGGCGAGGCGGACAGGTCTTCGCTGTCCTCCGGGAACGAGTCGTTGAGGCGCCGGAAGAGTCGTCCCAGGTCCGAGTAGCTGCGGTGCAAGTAGAGCACGTTCCTGTCCGACCACTCGGTGCGAATCTCGAAGAAGTCCTCCTCGTCTCCCCTCGGGCTGATGAGCAGCCTGCGGACGCCGTTCACCCAGCAGTCCCGCACGAACATGTTCACCAGCGATGTGCCCTCAAACACGGCCGAAGCCATGCCGCTCAGTCCGGCATGCCGACGAGCTCCCAGACGCTCCGACCAATGGCCGCGGACGACCACAACTTTTTTTACGTGGACTTTTTTTCCTCCCCTCTCTCTTTCTTTGGTCGTAGTTTGGAACAGGCGATGCGGGGAAGCTCGGCCCAGTAGACGAAGTCAAACGTGGCGTGATTGAGGAGGGAGTGTAACCAGAGTCTGTCGATGGAAGTCATTGCAAGTCAGAGATGACGCCCATTTGGAAAGAAAGAAAAATACTGTACTCCCAATTGTTGTTTCTTCTTCGTCATGTTAAGTTAACGTCAGTGTATTTCTATATAAAACGCATTTCTCCACCGCATCTGTTCGAGTGTGACGACGATTTTCTTCTCTGTGCACATTTTAAACTAATTTCTTCACTCTTTTCCTGACTTTGCTCGCTCCTTTCTTGTTTGACAACAGCTCATTATTATGCAAAGAACGCAACGGGGTCTCAAAAGACCAACCACTCATTTGTCCTCCTACGAGAGTGCTTTTAAATAACATTTAGTCCAAATAACATCTTATCATGTTCCACGCAGCAACAATACAAATTATAGGTAGCCGTTGACACCCAGACGGCAATTCGCACTGCAGTCATTAAATGGAAGTAAAGGTTATTTCCTATAAATAGCGCTTTTCTCCCAGACAATGGTAGCACATTGCAACCATTAAAAGACAAAAAAATAAAATGCACAATACAAGAGTAGAATATCAATGAATAAACATATGCAAAATGAAACAACTCTTATCACATGAAAAGATCGATTGTGAATATGGAATTTAAAAGCCGAATGCTGTTTTGTGATTAAGTTAAAGAAAAAATGTTACTGGTGTGTAAAGCACAAAATGATTTGTCTTTGTAAAGTTTGGAAATGATCTTGGGTTTCACTTTTCTAAATGACAAAAACCTGAAATGTGAACAGGGGGGTGTAGACTTCTACGATCCACAATATATAATCTGAGATTATGATTGCAGCCTCGGCGTTGCCACACATGCTCGCTTCTCTAATGACGGGATGCGTCCCCACACTTGGCCCGCTTTTTGCACAGTCCGCACCACAAATGTTTGCAGTGGGAAAAAAAAGGAGGTCCAATCCAAGAACATTTGATTGAATGCTCGAATGTCGAATATTTTCACTTGTCATCGTGGTCGCGTATTTAGGGCATAATATGAGATGGATTGTTCGTCTGAGCAGGAAGGCCTCAAAGATTTTTTTTTTCTATGCCGATGTATGAAAAAGCAAACCTCACATGCAAAGTCCAGCAGGGGGTCCATCTTACTTTCCTAAAAGGTAAACATACGCTAAGAAGAAAGCACCGTGACAATATGGTGAGGAGGAGGAGAGCAGACGACGTCCTTTTCAGCAAGCATCTGCCGGACTTCCCGTTTTATGGCCTCGTCCTCATTGTAGCGAGCGCATCTGCTGCCTGAGCGGGTTCAAAGATGTCAGATGTTTAATGTTGCTCCCCCACCCTACCCACACGTGCGTACTCTTTGTCATATAAATCATTAAACAGCTAATCTGGCTATTTTCCGCATCGGAGTATAAGGCGCACCTTCAATGAATGGCCTGTTTTAAATCTGTTTTCATATATAGGGCGCACTGCAGTACAAGACGCATAGAATAGAAGCGACAATACTGGCTGTGGTTGCGTTTGCATCCACTAGATGGAGCTACGCTAAAGGGAATACAATACAGCTTGATTGATATCGAGTTTTCACAACCACTGCAGCTGTAACAAAGCGCTTGACAAATCATTTTAAATACAAGAAATTAGAATATTGATTCATATAGAAGGCGCATTGGATTATAAGGAAATGGAATGCTTTTAAGTGCGCCTTATAGTGCGGAAAATACGGTAAGTCTGTACTGCTGCATATGTTCAATTAAAATTGCTGAGTCATGTTACTCTAATATTAATAACACTATCACATGATGCGCATCTTGAAGGGCATGCATGTAGAATTCTGAATTAAAGGTGAATGTCTGTGATTGTGTAAGTATAAAGAGACGCAAAGTTTGGTAATAGGAAATATTTTTATTACTAAAAAGTATAGTGAAGGAGATCTGTGGGCAGCGACTAGTGAAGTCTTCATTGGAATCACGAGATTGGACCAAACCATCTAATTGTGAACGGGTGGGCGGGGGGGGGGGGACCAAAGAATCATAATTAGGGTCGTCTATGTACACGAGGAGGAGGCGAAGAAGTGGCAAAGTGGTCGGCTGTCACGGGAGGAGGCACTTGAGGAGCCTCAAACACACCACAGTGCTTCAAACAAAACAACAACAAACAAAAACATGATTCTTCCGAACTCGCCATTTGTACACGGAACGTTTGAAAGCATGCACGTCGACGTCCACTATTTACACCCGTCTCACGCCGCTTAACTTAAAGCATCAATGTGGACGTTTACAATGACTGGGCCGCTTTTAAAAAAAAAACAAACAAAAAAAGAAGAAAGAAAGAAAGAAAAAGGTAAGCTAGCGTGTGGTATTTACAGCGAAAGACCCCCATTTGAGCGAAGGAAGCCCACCAGAAGTGGTTTGGTGCGGTCAGATCTTCTCCTGGATGAAGGCGTGCTGCAGGGCCTGGTTGATGCTGATGCGCTTGGCCGGGTCCAGCATGAGGGTGGCGTCCAGCAGGTCTTTCAGCTGCATCACCTTCTTGCGCTGCTCCTCTGGCAGACGCTGGCCGCCGATCATGTCGCCCAGCAGGTCTTTGGTGGGGTTGATGGTGCTCATCACCGTCACCTTCTCCTGGAAACGCAACGCGCGCAAAGCGAAACGTCAACGAGGCCCGCGTTTCTTTACGGCCGTGCGAGTTGGCGTTATTTTCGCCGCAGCCATTTTGTTTCGTGAGCTCTCGCTGCCATTTGTGCGACGGCGGAGGCCCGCGTGGGGCCACCTCACCCTTTCCGTGACTTTGTCCACTTCGATGTAGAGGAAGTTGAGGTTCTGGTCGAAGTGTTGGTCTTTGAACAAGCCCTTGCGGATCATCTGAGGAAACAGCGGCAACGCCGTTGCGTCATCCGGCGTCTTGCGTGTGTGTCAATGATGATGATGATGCAACGCCAGGGGCGCTTGCGTGTCCATCCTACCTTGTTGGGCATTTTGCCTTTGACGTCCATGGCCAGTTTGATCATATGGTTGTTGGAGGAGCCCGGGAAGAGGATCTTGCCCGTGTAGAGCTCGTAAAGCGTGCAGCCTACCGACCACATGTCGATGCCGTAGTCGTACGGCTTGCCAATGACTGACAGGCGGTGAAGAACAAGTACAAACTAATGCTTTATCTGGCTTTTTAAATTTTTTTTGAAAGAGGTCGAAAGTGAACTCACTGATCTCCGGCGCTCGGTAGAACCTGCTAACCAGGTACGGCGTGATGTCGTTGTCGGCCACGTGCGACGCCGAGCCGAAGTCGCACAGTTTCAAGATGGTCTTGGACTCGTTCACCTGAGGACAAAAAAAATAAATAAAACACACACAAAGTCAAATAAGAGAGTTTTGAGAGAAGCAAAGCACTCAAAAGACAACACTCTATTCTGTGTGGGAAATTAAGGCAGCAATATATACATTTGTCTCGAACACGGGCATAAATTCTTTCTCCTCGGCGAGGAGTCAATCACCAGCTGTTGTTGAGCTCTCATGGGCTGTCAGTCAATTTTGGGCAGATGACGATGTTAGCATATTACAAGTGATGTCAAGTCTAAGTGGAGAGTCAATCATCAGAAAGGACTTTCGGGGCCG